AGGGAGGAGGGGGGACAGAAGAGGGCAGTTTCCCAACTTCTATGATACACCATTTCTGCTTGTAATCCTGAAATCCCTCAAGCCAAGCTCAAGCTTCATCCCCAATCTTCCAAACTTAACACCAAAAATGCTCAACCCAACTCTAGCCTAGCTCAAGAACCCATTTGAACTCCATTCTATCTAATCTTTGCTGCTAGAAAACTTTCGTTAAGGTACATACAAAAGGTAAGTCATTTTTTATTTTTTTTTGGGTTGCTTGAGGTTCTAAAATATTGGAGAACCATCGTTTTCAATTTCTTCTTGATTGAGAATAGAGGCAGAAAGGCAACGGTCTTATGGAAATCAGTGCCTAAGACCTGATAACATCACCTCAAAATCGGTCTTAGGAGAAATTGGAAGCATGTTCCTCTAGATTTAAGAAATTCCTGCAACCATTTTTGTTTTTTTTTTTTAAAAGAAACTGAGCTTGAACAACTCCCGTATTGGGCTGCGACAACAACTTGGAGAGAGGGATGACTAATACCTTCCCTATATCCTTAGGACCCAAAATCTTTCGGTTATGTGCCTTTTCCATGGAAGACAAAGTCACTATCAAAGACTTAAGTCGACTTTTTCGAATTTAAAAAAGATAACCCATTTCCTCTAAAAAAATGGGTGACGACTCCATCTTTCCGTGTCGACCATGAGTTTCCTAGAGCTTACAATATTCATATTATCAATAATTCTATATTTTTACTAAATTCATCATGAAATTAAAATTATAATTGTAGGAATTATTCAATTTAAATGTTATTCAAATAATAAAAATTTAACATTAAAAAATAAAAAAATATTTCAATATTTCATAACTAAATATCTTAAATAAAAAACATTAAAAATAGTTAAATAATTATATAAAATACTTAATATTACGTAAATATCATTAAAATAGATAAAATTCAAATAATGAAAAGTTTTAAATGTTTTACATATTATTTAAATATTTAAATAGCGAAATATTTAACATGACTAAATTTTAAATAGTTAAAATAATGAAATTATGCAATAAATTTAAGAAATTTCTCAATTGTAAAAAATAATTATAATAGATTTTATAATATTCATATAAATAATAATTTAATATTTTACAAAATTAATAACAAATTATGTAATAATAGTAAAATTATAATTTTACAAATTATTATATTCAATAAATAATTAATATTTTAAAATTTTAAATAACAATATTATTTCAATAACTAAATAATATTGTAAATAACTAATTTCACTTATATCAATTAATAATTATAGAAAATAACTTTCAACAAAATTATATTTATTAGTAATAATTTTACTATAATAGTGTATATTCATTATATATTTATATATACTAAATTTAATATTTATTTTATTTTCAGTAATTATTTATTGTATTTTGGATAATTATTTATAAATATATATTTGTTTTGTTATTTTATAGAAAATTGTCTATAATTATTGGAGATTAAACAACTATAATTTAGCTTTGAAATTTAATTTATCATATTTATTGTATTTTTGTTATAAAATTATTTTTAGTGATTATATATTTTTATAATTTATAGATTAATATTTATTAGAGATTAAACTATTATTTGAGATTACACTATTTATTGACTAATTTTGTTTATTTTCAGTATTTATTATATTTTTGTAATTATTGTGTTTTTATTAGATATCTGATGTAACTGTTTCTGGTCACGTTCCATTTTTTGTGATGTATAAATTTTTTTGGCTAAGTACCTCGTTATTTGACCYGGTGGTGACGTGCCTTGGTGATGAGCTACTTGGTGGCGAACTCCCTGGTGGAGAATTGCCTGGTGGCGAGTTCCCTGGTGGCGAACTGCTTGGTGGTGAGCTCCCTGGTGGCGAACTGCCTGGTGGCGAACTCCCTGGTGGCGAATTGCCTAGTGGCGAGCTGCCTGGTGGTGAACTCCTTGGTGAACTGCCTGGTGGCGAGCTCCCTAGTGACGAACTGCTTGGTGGTGAGCTCCCTGGTGGCGAACTGCCTGGTGGCGAGCTGCCTGGTGGCGAACTGCCTGGTGGCGAGCTGCCTGGTGGCGAACTGCCTGGTGGCGAGCTGCCTGGTGGCGAGCTGCCTGGTGGCGAGCTGCCTGGTGGCGAGCTGCCTGGTGGCGAGCTGCCTGGTGGCGAGCTGCCTGGTGGCGAACTGCCTGGT